CAGTGATTCAACAGAGCAGCAGCGCTTCATATGAAACTGTGGACAAGAACAGCCACGGGTTCTCCAAGTCAAAGGTTGTTGAGAATGAGAAATCAAATGCAAGATTCATCATTTTGTTGCTAAGCAATGCTTTGATATGGTTTAATCTTAAATATACTTTAAAGGAATTCATCTTAGAGTAAATTTAAAAAATGCTGGGTTGAACAAAGCCAATATGAATATGAACAAACCCAACAGTGGTTAAAAATGGCATTCAAATTTAATTGAAAAAATTAGGTTTGTCCAACTTTGATCCAATGCTGACAACCTAGTGCACTGTACGGAGTACATACTAATAAATAACAATAGCAGGCATTACATAGACCCAAAGGACAGTCACTATTTATACTGTAATAATAGGATGAATTCAGTTATTAATAATAACTTATTACTTAATATACTTATTAATATATTCAGATATGTACTGATATTTTAAACACCTCTTATCCATTTTAATCCACCAGGGTATGATATTTAAGTTGATATAGTTGTACACCTTTCCAACTTCTCGTTAGCACAAATTTCTAATTAGCCAATCACATGGCAGCAACTCAATGCATTTAGGCATGTTCAAACTGAGCATCAGAATGGGAAAGAAAGGGGATTTAAGGGACTTTAAATGTAGCATGGTTGTTGGTGCCAGATGGGCTGCTCTGAGTATTTCAGAAACTGCTGATCTACCGGGATTTTCATGCACAACCATCTCTAGGGTTTACAGAGAATGGTCTGAAAAAAAGAAAATATCCAGTGAGTGGCAGTTCTGTGGGCACAAATGCCTTGTTGATGCCAGAGGTCAGAGGAAATGGCCAGGCTGGTTCCAGCTGATAGAAAGTCAACAGTAACTCAAATAAGCACTCGTTACAACTGAGGTATGCAGAAGAGCATCTCTAAACACACAACACACCCAACCTTGAGGCGGATGGGCTACAGCAGCAGAAGACCACACCGGGTGTCACTCCTTTCAGCTAAGATCAGGAAACTGAGGCTACAATTCACAAAGGCTCACCAAAATTGGACAATAGAAGACTGGAGAAACGTTGCCTGGTCTGATGAGTCTCCATTTTTGCTGCAACATTCAGATGGTAGGGTCAAAATTTGGTATCAACAACATGAAAGCATGGATCCATCCTGCCTTGTATTAACGGTTCAGGCTGCTGGTAGTGGTGTAATGGTGTGGGGGATACTTTCTCGGCACACTTTGGGCCCATTAGTACTCATTGCGTATTGTGTCAATGCCACAGACTACCTGAGTATTGTTGCTGACCATGTCCATCATTTAATGACCACAGTGTCTTCTGATGGCTACTTTCAGCAGGATAACGAGCCATGTCATACAGCACAAATCATCTCAGACTGTTTTCTTGAACATGACAATGAGTTCACTGTACTCAAATGGCCTCCACAGTCACCAGGTCTCAATCCAATAGAGCACTTTTGGGATGTGGTGGAATGGGAGATTCACATCTTGGATGTGCAGCCGACAAATCTGCAGTGATGCTATCGGGTCAATATGGACCAAAATCTCTGTTAATGTACAAACAAATCTAAATGACAGAATTTTCTTTTTCAATTTGGAAGAAATGTCAGTAGTAGTATACAGAAGAAGCTAAATATACATTTTATTTAAAAACATAACTAAATAACAATCCAAGTTAACTCACTTAAATCCAGAGAAGCTGACAGTGTCTCATAATCTATATATGAATAACAAATTAATCCTTATAACACTTGTATTAATGTGGTTTATAAAGCAGATGCTGTTCCTTCTGTCAGATCTCACAATGGAGGATCCTCACTTGACGTTTTATTTTCAAACCCAAAGTGACAAGTGCAAGTGACTGAATAGAGAGAAAGAAAGTGAGTGACAGATTGACAGAGTGAAAGAAGCTCCTCATCACGTCAAAGCTCACTAGACACTTTAGTGATGAAGACGACTTCTGAGGGGTCACTGTGAGTGCAGGTGAACACGAGTCCCTCAAGGCCTGTAAACGCTCGTCTGTAAGAGGAACACTGACAGGCCGAGTAAATTATCACCGCTTTACGAGTCTCTATCCTTCGGCGGGCTGTAAACATTGATTAAACACATGTCAGCAAATGAGAGACAGCGCAGGCTGTGGCCGAATAACTCCACCTTCATATTATAGTCAGTTATTCCTCCTTACACACTGTAATGATTTCCTTTGGTCACATTTTATTTTGATGGTCCGTTTGTAGAATTTATGTTACATTACATTCACAATTCTCAATAGATATTAAGTAGACTGTTAGGGTTGGGGTTAGGGTTAGTGTAAGCTGACATGTACTCGCAAAGTTTCTTATAGTCAGTTTAATGTCTGTTGAAGAAGCAGTATCAGCAGATATTAAGCAGTCTACTAATACTCAAATGGATTTTCGGGGCCAATCACCGATTACCAATAACCAAGATCATGATCTACTGATTGCCGATCACTGACGATCACGGAATGGCCAATCAATAAAGTCAATGACTCAATAAAGTGTGCCATTTTTCCCAAATAAGGCAGAGTAACTTAAAATTATTTCAAACAAAGAGGGTTCAGGCAGACCAACACACATCAGATCAGCT